GAGTCGGGGACCCAAAAACTTCTCTGAATCAATTACCGGTCCAAATTTAAAATACATATATTTTTTTTTTTCTTTTTTTGGTAGTCAACCATAATATCTGGAGCTTCGCCCCAACTAATATGTTGGTGTCGCACACCTGGCAACAGTGGGTGAATCTCCCAATAAAAATTTTCTTCATTCACAAGGACTCAAACTCGAGACTTTTCTTAACCAGCATCATGCTGCTTAGTAGTTTAGCAATCTCCCAACAAGGATTTCCTATTGTTGATTTAAACTAATCTAAATAAAAGTACTAAAAATCAGTAATTATTCGTAACTCATGAATAGACTTTGAGATTTCGATCGTAATCTTCTTTCTCTAAAAAATCATGATCTCATGGAAATTTACTGATTTTCTTTTAATTTTGATAATAATTCAAAGTAAGGGGCCTAAATCCAGCCCGAATTGCATATAGTTTCGAAAATCAATCTGAATATCACTAAAGGTCACACCGGAACAAATTACTCCGACAATTCTAACAAACACAGACACAACACGCCGGCGGCTTCTTCCTCCGCCGTCGGCCACCACCGAATATATATCCATACGACAAGGTGTAACACGGCCACAAGTAAAAATAAATACATAAACAAATAAAAAAAAAAAATTAGAAGCAAATTACATTATTAGCCTTTGTATTTCTTCACCTGATCACCTCTCTAAGCCCACCTTTCCTGGACCGAAAAATCGGAGAAAACACTGTGCTCTTCGCGTGACTGCAAATCGGCACGCTAATCGCCGGCCTTAACCTCACACCCACCGTTCTCTGGTTTCCTTTCTTACCGATAGCATCACTTAACGAAATATCCGGCACCGACGTGGCGCGCCGTTTTTTCAAACTCAACAGCTCCTTCCAAAGGACGGTGCATTTCGGCGGCCTCGGGGACGGGCCCTCGTCCGGTAACCATCTCATCGTCGCCATATCTTCCCGAGGTTTTGTGTCGGACTTGGGGCCGGGCTTGAGGAACGGGAGCATCTTGCCCCGGTGGAAGAGCTCGTCCGCGGGCATCATCGTGCTCGGCCGGCGGCTTCCGGATGGGAACTCGAACTCTATCATGTCCAGCTCGGAATTGGATTCGTCTAACGAGCCGTGCGGGTCCCACATAGGGTCGGGGCATATGGAGATGAAGTCGCGCTCGTCGAAAAAATCGGACGAGAACGATACCCGCGGGCTCGTGGGCTGCTCGGTTGCCGAATTTAGTGTAGATTGAAGGGCCTTTTCTAGGGAGACCATTTTTTTTTATTAATATTAAAGATGATTTTTCTGTGCTTGAGGCTTTTTATTTTTTATTTTTTATTTTTTTTGTTGAGAAAAAAAAATGAAGGATAAGGAATTTAGAAGTTTAGACATGGCTCTCTGCATGGTTTTATAAAGAATTGAGTGATGGGAAGGTGTTGAGGACCTCCTTTAAAATGCGGCGATTATTTAAGGCTTTATGTACTGTCACTTTCTTTTAGTTTGGTTTTGTGTACTAATGTTGAAACAAAGTGTGGTTCGGTGAAGATGGACAATGGTTCGGACATGATTGTGAGTCATCCATCACTTAATTTATGAGAAACTGTATGGAGTAATTTGATGGTTTTCTTTGTAGTCATTTGTCACTTAATGTATTGACACTTACTATTTAATGTGTATTTATCGTGTGACACGTGTCAATACATTATCTGTGAATAAGTGCAGATGACTCCATAAATCGTGTCATCTGACAGCTCAAACTCATGTTTGATTTATTTTACCTTTTTGGAATTAATAAAATATTCAAAAAAATAATATGATTTGTATACTGCATGATCAAATTGTATTGAGTTCTATATTGAACGAGAATTTTATATGGACAAGACTAGTGAAATGAATACTTTGGAGACAATTGGGAAAGAAATTAAAATATATGGAGGGGGCTGCTATTCTGATAGAGAGCAGTACATGAGAGAGTGAGAGTAGAACATTGACAATGCTTGAAGG